TCATAATAATCTCTCAGCCATAGAACAAATCAGTGTAGAAAAATTATATTCTGATTCAGTTATGTAGACAACTGACAATAAAGAATAGACAAAGCAATCTAAAACCATTTTTCTGGCTTTTTTGTTAAAATAAGCAGAACAAATTGATCTAAATTACTACCCACAAACCACTGAAGAATGTGCTGATATAGACTGTAATATTGTATTGATTTAACTGAGGTGAAGGAGCAACATAGAGGGCTTGGGGGTTTAGTAGGAGGATGAAGTAGAGGAAATATGGGTGAAGGAAAGTTCAGAAGTTCAATACAAGGGGTATCATAATGTTTTAATTATTACCTTTAAAAAAATTGACACAAAGTTTGTTTTGATTTGTAGTTGTTAACTTATCTCTATGTATTCACCATCCAGATTTACACATTTTCCCCAGCATTTCTTCCAAATACTGTTTTCTACCCAGAGTACAATTTACTCTGACAATAATGACACTGACAAAATTTCAACAATATACGATAATAACTTTCGGGTTATTAGTATTTTACGATACCCCCTTGTACGTCTCCATCTTACACTTTAGTCACTTCTGGCACAACCTGTAAGAAAAATAAAGGACATAATGAGCTGATTTTCTCAACATCATGCACTTAGGGAACCAATGATGACACTGACAAAATTTCATCAATATACCATAATAACTTCTGGGTGATAATTATTACTTTACAATACCACTTCATATTGTTAAAATATAAGCTTAAATCCAGTTGCTAGTCCCAAATGGAATAGTTCATTGAATTCATTGCTAAATGATAAGTTAGCACTTGTATAAAATTACTTGAGTCAGTGGGTTTACTCTGTTTGTGGGCTAGCAATTGAATTTAATCTTGACAATTTCAAATGTTGAAATATATACAGGCAAGAGGCTGGTAAATGCAGACATACTGTTTATGGTAACCTTGGTGAGGTCATGTGTGCCAGGTCCAATCCTTCTGTCATTCATGTATTTCTGGCTGGATATTAGAATAAGATGGTTAGATACAAACTTGTAACATGGGTCCTTACCTAAACTCTCTTCATGTATGCTGTCTTATGAATAATCATTCTTTCAACAATAAAAACAACAACAAATATATCTGAAGTTAAACTTTAACCAACACAGAGAGTTTTATTTATTTACTAAAAGCATTTCTACTCCATCCTTTAGAGGGAAAAATTTCCTAGAGTTGCTTGAATCTATTTTTAGTACGTAATAATTTACTTAAAAGAGGAATCTGAGAATACTTGCCATTTTGTAATGTTTTCTTTGGCCCTAATAACCCTTGTCACCGTATTGATTTTTTTTATTCTGATGGAAGTCTGAGAACAAATTAAGGACAGATTCTTTTGCCATTAATTTTGCTAATGTCTTTCAAATTTAGGACACCTATTTTTCCTTGAATAAAAGCTCTTATTGTTATAAAGTATAAGCCACAATTTTTTTTAAAAAAATCTACTCTTTTTTTTTTTGTAAGTTGTCTGAATTTGATGGGTGCTAATAGTGAGGATATCTGACTGTCTTTTGAAAACATTAGTGTTGCATGGTCATCTAGCCACTGTTTTCATTATCAGTTGCCACAGATCTTTAGGAAATTCATGGAATCTCATCATATGCTGAAACAATCCATGTGGGGGTCATATAAGCTACCTGTACTTCTCCTCCATTGATCTGTGCCTGATCAAACAGCCGGGTATTGATGTCCATGGCAGAAAGTCTTGCTCACTGTCTATACATCAAGAAAATATGGGGATGGTCTTTTGGTGTGTAATGAACTCCTTTATATGAGGTGGGTGGTCCTGATTGAACCAAATCCACTTTCATGACTTGCATACACTTAAATGACTATAGATGGAGCCCTTGACCATGCCATTCAAATATACAGCCAGCCCTGTGTATTCGTGGATTTTTTTATCCATGGCTTGAAAATATTTTTAAAATGTATACATTCAAAATAGTAAAGCGTGATTTTGTCATTTTATATGAGGGAATCTATTGTACTGTGCCATTGTATTTAATGGGACTTATGCATCCATGAATTTTTGGTATCTACTGGGTATCCATGACCATTGGCCATGATGGTATCCATGACCATTGATATCATAACCTTTGGCATCCATGATCAATGGCCATGATGGTAGGGACTTCTGGAACTTGAAATCCAAAATATCTGAGAACCAAAGGTTAAGTGGTATAAACACCGTGGAGGAGAGAAGTGATGGTTCCTCATATGTTATTACTGAAATGTTCACTTTCTCTAGTACTGTATATTGCTATCGCAGAAATTCTGCTATAATTATTGTGAAGATAAGAAAGCTCACCCATAGCCCTGAAAACTGAGAGACTAATGCCCATCACAATTGAATGCTTACATTAATGCTTACATTAAAGGAGTGGAAGGAGACCTTTGGCTTCTTCAGTTCAGCCCTCCTCTAATTTCCCAGATGGCTGTGCCCCCTTCCCCATGAAGCCCTTTGACAGTTTCCTAGCTTTTTTGTGTATAGTTGGGCCTTTGGTATCTATTGGGGTTTGGTACCAAGATGCCAGTGCCCTCCCAGATAACCAGAATCCTTAGATGCTCAAGTTCTGTTAAATACAATGGCCTAGTAAAATGGTGTCCCTTACATAAAATGGCAAAATCAAGCTTTGCCTTTTGAAATTCATTTTTTTTAAAAAAACATTTTCAAGCTGTGGATGATTAGTTCCATGGATGAAGAATCTGTGGATATGGAGGGCCGACTGTAGTTCCCTGCCCCCTTTCTAAAAGGTTGAAATACCTCTCCTTAGATTTAGTTACCGGCAGTAAGAGCTTTAAACCAAAATATGATGATATTTTTGGGTGTACCATTATGCCTTTGGTTCCACCCACGACTGGAATGCATTCCTGAAGAAACTCTCTGACATTGACTTTGGCCTTTTCATTTTCAATTATTCCACACCCTGGAGTTAGAATGAAGACTTAGTACTTGGATATAATCCACACTTGAATTAAAACTTTCTGCAAAATGCCTGGCAATAGTTGAGTGAAATAATGCCATAAGCTTAATGTAAAATGAAGGAACCTAGGAAGTTCACTATTTTAAAAACTGTATTAGATATTTAGTTTTTCAAATATTTAGATACTTAGTCCGCGTTTGTATTAGAAATGAGTCCATAGCCCAGTGAGGTAATCTGATCTAAGAATTATAAAATAATACTATGAGTAGTCCACAGGTATTTTACTCTTTTATAATGAAAGGAAGCATATTGTATTAATGTTCTGATTGCCTGTTTGTTCACTTGGTGCTGCTTACAGGTATATGCTTATATGATCTTCCTGGCTTCTATACTTCCTGGCTCATATGTGATAATTCAACAAATTTAGCGCTATTGGGAAAGATCAAGTTCTGGGAGTGAGGAGGTGTTAGGCACAATGACAAGAACAATACTGAATGAGAGAGACAGTACCTATGAGTACACTAAAGAAGAGGGATTGGAGTGGTATTTGAGCATTTTTATAGTGGTCATTTGCCAATTTATAGTAATGTTTGAAAGACTTTTAGGAACATAATTGTACTGCACACAAAACCTATTCAAATGCTTTAGAAATCTAAACTCTTAATCTTTTTTTAAAAAAAGAATAGTGTCTTGTAGTTATTTTGACATAGGACTGAAGCCATGGATCTCAGTTATTCATTTCTAAATACTATTTACATTTTGGTGCTCTACATTATAGGTAAATATATGCTATTGCATTCCATAACTTTTAAACAAATAAAAAGGTAGCTGTTTCACTTGGTTAATGCAGTATTTGTGTTACCTGTTTTCCTTTTCTTTTCAGAAAAATCTGTTTTTCCACCCAGATTCTTGAAGCTTATTAAAAAGTATTTACTTTTATGCAAACATTTGTTAAAAACATATTTTATGAAATCCTGAGTGAGCTGCAGAACTAATAAATGTTCTTTTTATAAGGGTTTATTGAGCCTCCCACCTTCCACAATTAATTAACATATCAATTATGTTAATTGTGTATTAACACAATTTCCTTCACTCTTGCCTATGGGAGGGCAGGCTGCACCAAGTGACCCCCTAAGGGGGTTACACCACTGTTCCCCACACATCTGACTTGTCGCAGAGATGGGCTGTGATGTTCACCTGTGTCCCTTTAAAACGCTGGAGCTCAGTGGAAGAGATAATGCACGGGGAGAGGCTCAGTGGGAGAGACAGGAGAGGACCCAGGTTCTTGTTTTTTGTTTAAAATACATTTTCAAATTTTATTTTTTTAAAAAAAATATTTTTTTTATTTTTAAACATTTTCTTTAAAATATCATGCCTTACCAAATTTTCACTTTAACCACATTAAACTGTTTACATGTAAATACATTTAGGCTCTGCATATGATATTGTAATTTAAAGGTATAACTAATTTTAGTAGTTGTTTATGTCTTGCCATTACATTCCGAGATATACAGAAATTACGATTAATGAGTAACATTAGTACAAAAAAATTCCTAAGGATTCTTAATGGTCTGATATGGGAGAGGTCCCTGGCAGGGGTGACCCCATGAGTTACCGAACTGGGTGACGCCAATCCTAGTGACGCTACTGCTTGAAGGCACACAGAACAGTTTTCAAGCTGGGTAGGAGAACCCCTTTCTGCCTCCCCAATTCTCTTCTTCCCTCTATGTGGTTTTTCTTATCTGAAGATAGCTGGTGGGGCAGGCTTATCTTACTTCCCCCTTTTCCCTGTTTTGTTGTTTCATGGGTGTGGGTAAGAGATTCTGAAGACAGCTGTTGTTTACCTTGCTTGTTGTAAAAAGATGTACCCAGCTACAGTAGAATTGTTGTTGTGTGCCTTCAAATCGTTTCGAACTTGTGGAGACCCTAAGGTGAATGGGGGTTTCTTTGCAGGTTTCTCCAGAGGTGATTTGCCATTGCTATCCTCTGAGGCTGCGAGAGTGTGACTTACCCAAAGTCATCCAGTGGGTTTATATGACCCAGCCAGGTTTTGAACCATGGTCTCCAGAATCATAGTCCAACACTCATACCACTGTACCACACTGGCTGCCAGAGTAAAATCCCATTCTTTCCCAGAGCAAATTTTAATGCACTTACTGCAAAACTGCTGTTGCAGTATGGCATCAATAATGCTTTTATATCCTCCCTTCACCAACATGCAGCTAATACTTTGATTGTCACTGCATATGACTGTTTTTGTCCAAATAAGGACTTTATTAATTACAATATTTGTGGTTTCTATTCTCCATTTTTTAATTCTTAGATGACAAAAACTAAGATTCATGGGTTTAGATAGCAAAGGATACAATGGTTTGCAGCTTTTTCTTTAGTTTAGTGTATATTCCTAATTTGTACAGATTAATCCCAGGTGCTGTAGACTATATTCATGGGGTCTCCATAGGTCAACAGATGACTTGAAAGAACATGCACACAAGTCTTTTATATTTTTCAATTTTATAAACATTTCAGGTACTACAGTTGTATATGTCATCTAAGCCATGAGTGAAGTGTTTTGTGGTGCTCAAGCAAAAAAATATTAGCTTTGATATGCAAATAAAGTATTGCATCTATAATCCTTGCGTTCCTGCCTAGAGCTTCATCTCTCAAATGTTTCTCTTTCAATTGGTTTTATAAATAAGTCCCAGAAGTTACTACCATACAAGGAAATATTGTAACTAGCCTACTGACAGTTGCTAGAGGAAGAGCAGAGAGAACTGCATTCTTGTGCTGGGTCAGGAAGAAGGGGCTTTCATTGTCCAACAACCTGCAAATTTTATATGATGGGCTGAAAAGACAATCTGAGTACTCAATCCTTCCTCAATCTGTTTATTTGCCTGCATACAGTAGCTTTTCATCTCTGGACCACTAGCTAGTGTTAAATATAAGGCTCCTTTAAATCTCAACACTGGCCTTTTCCCCTTTTTAAAATCTATTCCCTGTGGCCTTGCCCAATCCTGTCTTTCCATTTTTATATAACCCCACTTTCCCAATCAGCAGCCTCTTGAGGTGGAGGGAACTATTTTTTTTCTTCATTTTATATATCGCTTCATATCGTGCTATGGGGTGTCTAAGCGGTTTACAACTGTAAGCTCATTGCCCCCAACAGTTGGGTACTGATTTTAGTGACCTCTGAAGGATGCAGGCCTGAGTCTAGCCTGAGTCCTGGCTAGTATTGAACTCACAACCTTGTGCTCTATGAGTGAGGGGCTGCAGTACAGGCATTTAACCATAGCGCCACCAGGGACCTTACCTCATACACTAGTAGAATCAGGTGACGGGAATGAGTAGTTCCCCCCACATAACATGTAGTACCTTGGAAAGGAAGTACAGGTGAATGAATTGGGCAGGATGTTAGGGTATTTTTTTACCTTGATTGGTTTTATGGATTTAGGATGTTGTTGTATTTTGCACTGTGGCCAGCACAACCACCCTGGATGTGTTTTCTAGATTTGAGGATGTCTTATTTTAGCCGCAACAAAGGAATCCTAAAGAAGAGGGAGCCAAGGGGCTGAAGTTTTCAGCCCGAGAAAGGGACATGCAGCCTCACATAGGACAGAAGCAGCCTGGATCTCAAGAGAAGTTACTTTTTCTGTTGCTAATACAGTTTACTCTTTGTTTCCCAGTACCCACATGGCACAACAGGGGAATGGCCTCTCCCTGAATTGATATCACAGCCTCACACATCAACATCTTGACAAAATGTAGGCTTGTGATTCTTAACATCATCATTTTTTCTTCTCTATGATTTTAACACCTTTGCTTGATGAAGAAGCTAGTGGAGTTTCAAAAGCTTGCAACATGTATTTTGTGCATTTTTAGTTGTCCCAGTAAAAATATTACTGTTTTGTGGATTTTGGATGTTACTATATTTTGCTGTATTGCCAACACACCTATCTCCGGATATTTAAACAGCAAAATAGGAAAGAATAGAGTCCAATAACAGATGCAGAAGTGGAATTAGTATTTTTAGAGCTCCTTTAAAAAATTACTTTAAAAAGATACCAGTCTTTAAATCAACATGTAAATTCGTGGTGCTATAATTGTTGTTGATTATTATGATTTTGTGCAGCTTCATGTGCTATTCAACAAGCTTTTGTACAAGCCAGCACCCTCCTCCCCTTGGAAGTGTATTTGTTTTATTCCTTGTCTTGTCCATCCATTTTAATTAATCTTGTTATATGCTTTTTCTTTCATAGTCCTGCTCATAGAGCATAATGAAGATTAATTTTATCTTACTGATTGATATTATCTGACCATGCAGTGAAATTGTGTTCGCGTTTTGTATGCATTAGGACAGACCTAAAGCAACCCTATTGTTTTCTTGGTAATATTTGTTCAGACACCATTTGGCATTGCCTCCCTCAAGAGATTGTGATTTGCCCAAGTTCATCTGGTGGATTCCATGGCTGAACAAGGATTTGAACTCTGGTCTTCCAAACTCTAGTCCAAGACTCAAACCGCTACATCACAATGGCTCTCCTGTCTGTCTGTCTGTCTGTCTGTCTATCTATCTATCTATCTATCTATCTATCTATCTATCTATCTATCTCCATCCATCCATCTATCCATATGCTGTTTAGATTTGCGTGTTTGTGGCCTGTGTACCATTCTAACCTTAAATTTGATATTCGTCTTCATTCTAGGTTTTTCTTTGCATGTGGCTTACAGTCTTCCTATGTCTCCCTTACAGTTCTATCTTCAAGACACTAAGAGTAGTAATGGTACCTTTATAAATAGTCAGAGACTAAGCAGAGGATCTGAAGAGAGTCCACCATGTGAAATTCTGTCCGGCGATATAATCCAGTTTGGCGTAGATGTGACGGAGAACACGCGGAAAGGTAAGGGTACGGATCATTTTCCCCCTCCTATTTTTAATTTAAATTTAAACTTTAAATTTAAGATGGAAAGAAAAGCAAAACTATAGTGTTGTAAAATATGTTCTTGAAGGGATTTCTTCATAGAGTTGGGTGGGTACTTTAAAACCTATCTTTTGTTTGGTTTATTCTACCTTCTATTTGTCCAGACAGTGATGCATGTGTAAGGATACCTGAGAAATTCTAAACTCTAGGTATCAGTTCCTTCAAAACTGATTATTGACTAAATTGTAATGACACAGAGTTAAAATTATTGCTGCCAAAATTGCATTCCAGAACTAATCCTTTTCCTTTTGGGTAGGGTTGCCAGATGAAATAAGGCACAGCACTCCCTTCCCAATAATGGTTGTGCAGGAGAGGGGATTTCAGTAATTGTTGCTTGTTTGAGAAGTACACAATTCCCTCCTTCCACAGTTGTGGTTAGTCCCAGAAGCAGTAACTGTGGAGGCAGATTTCATTCAGAATCATGTTGTAGAGGACTGTCTGTATTGTGTTCCCAGGTTGCTCTCCTTACACCATTCAAGTGCTGATTAGGAAACCCAACAACACATACAAATGCCAAACTACATTTAATATATTGTGTAGTTGATGTTGTGTGTCTTCAAAACACTTTTGACTTATGGTGACCCTAAGGTGAACCTATCATGGCATTTTCATAACAAGATTTATTTAGATGAGGTTTTGTATTTCACTAAAGCTGAGAGCATGTTACTTGCCCAAGGTCACCCAGTGGGTTTCATGGCCGAGCAAGGAATCGAACACTGGTCTCCCGAGTTGTTGTCCAATAATCAAACAACTATGTCATGCTGGCTCTCAGTGTTCAGTTTACACTGCATTTATTCTTAGATTTCAAAGATATGGCTACGCTAGTTTGTAGAATCAGTATGTAGAGAGATCTTGTAGCACCTTTGAG